GGTCAAAACCAGGCTTTAAGTAAGCACTATCAAGTAACCTGATCTGATTAGAACCCAAACCGGACTAAGACAAGCCCTTTTTCAGATTCTAAATGAGAAATATTGCTGAGGAACACTTAATGACAGAGGTAATTTTGATTCCTTAATTGTTTGTAAGATAAATGGATGATTATTTGGTGAGCTAGCAGTATGGCAAAGATAGCTTCGATAGTTTACTATTTTCACTTAACCAGTGTAAAAGAAATATGAAATTCACAATGGAATTAGAAATTAGGAAATTACCTTTTTTGAACGTTATGAATATTATGGAAGATGGTAAGTTAGGCAGAGATATTTATGGGAAACCAGCAAATTTTGGTTTTGTTCTTAATTTTCTTTCTAACCATAGTTGCAAAACTAAGGTTGGAATTTTGAAATCTATGATTATTAAGAGTATGAGACTTGCGGATGAAAATCACCTGACCGAAGGGTTAAGAAGACTAAAAGTTTTATTCCTGAATAATAATTATTCTTTGAGCTTAATTAGCAATAATATATCTTTAATAAGGAATACATTTTCAGACGGAGACTATTTAATCAGAGAGACGCTGACCGAAGCCTTTTCTCATGTTCTAATCTTGCCATCATGTTTTCCTTCTAAGAAGATAGGAGAGCTAGTCAGGACGTGGGGGATAAATACAATGTTCAAATAAGCTGTAGCACTTTAGTCGGTTATGCTTTATTTTAGAGAGAAATATGACACACTATCAAGATTATGTGCTCCTGTGGTCGACCTTGTTGGCGAGACACGTCGGCCAATCCGTTAAAGATTAGCGGAGCACAAAAATGCTTGTAAAGGCAGCTGGATCGAACGGCGGAACACATGACGGAGACTGGGCATGGGATAGAATGATCTCGTACGCAGAGATTTGCTGATTATATTATGTTTGCTACGAATCGCTATTGAAATTAATGGATTAGAGAATACACTGAATGTGAGGAATGGTGGTAGAAAGTTGAGTAACAACTACTTGTGCTTCAATGAAAGCTTGCAAGAGAGAGCATGGAGCTGAGTCGCTGTCCAAAAAAAGACTACTTAACTTGTCAACTGAGTGATGGTTCTAACCAAATTCACAATCATTTAACAGACATGTCAAGCTCATCAGCAAAAAGAGACGTGCAAGGCTACGCAATCCAAGTCAGGCTTCTTCTTGGATCATTAAACCTGAATAACCTAGACTAATGGGTCCGGATTGGTGGTTTCGTAACCTGACTTTCACACGTACAAACTTACATTTCATAGATTTAACTAGGGTTAATCACGGACTAACGCGATATCGGTCATCCTTTTTTCCTTGAGTCATTAAGCCTTGATGACCCGGGGCGTACAGACGTTAACACAAAAAATACACACTCGAGTGTATGTGAATTAACAAAACTGTATCCATCTGTATCTTGAATTTCGCTCACAATAAGTAAATATTTCACATAGAAAAAAGCCGGTCAGTTTTCTTGACTTAGTGTTAACTTGAGGCTTTTGCAAAGATGTGTCCCAGGTCTGACAATATTCGTCATATGACGAATGAAAGCTCACCCAGTCTTCACGTGAAACGTTGAAGGATATCTCGTGGACTGTATCACTCCGAACGTAAAATTATGGCCAAACGGTTGCAGTACTACACGAAGCAACCGTTATCTTATGGCGAGATTGACCTATGAATCTCTTCAGCATGCATCTCCACAAGAAATTAAAGTCTTCACAACAATATACATTTTTGTATTTCAAAAGGTTCTGATAGTTCGAAACATTTGCCGGCTATGGCCCAGGTTACGGTCTATAATGGCCATGCCGAGATGATTTTAGCAGAACTCTGCAAGATTAGAAAAAGAATGTCAGAAAATAAGTGACCACACAATAAAAGAAATAGATAATACCTTCAATACAATGTCTCGACCAAAGCGAACATCTCCCGCGACCGTCAAATGGTCAAGCTCAAGGAGGTCCGGGATCGCGTTGAAGCGTTCTTGAAAGTCCCGTATTGCCTTAAATTCTTGGCTCATCTTGACCAGAGGCTGGGTTGGAAAATTGCGCTTGCTAGAGACAGTTAAAGAACCGTCTTGTATTTCGTAAAGATTTGACATAAGCAACAGCAAGTCGGACGTAAGCTTGACCGGTAGGAAACGGCTTCTTGGGACTCTAAGGCCTAAGGAGAAAAGAGTAAGTCGTAATGGAGCACTAAACGAATCGTATCAGGGGACAATAATTGCAAAACAATTTGGGTCAAATAGCCATGACGTGGTAGCCTACAACCCACACGTAACCAATTTTGATGGTTATGTTCGTTAAATTTGAAAAATGTGCTCTCAAGTGATAACATGGTTTCACTAAAAGTGTAAGGAAGACGGCCTCTTTGTGAGCTCCGCAGTCCTCGAAGCATAGTTCTCCTTCCTCGAGGGAGCATTGCTGAGTCTTCATCAATAAAGCGCTAGACTCTTCAAGAGCGTAATAAATTTCCTGACGCATAAGCATACCTCGTCATATTAACTTGCAGGCATGAGTTGCTTAAAATTCTTATTTGAGAATTGGTGATAGCAACGGAACGTACTCGAGTAGACAGTAATGATCTATATTTCCGTTGAATTTTCCTGTGAAATGTTGACTTCCAGTTCGTTTGTATACCAGTTGATTGTAGTTTCGACCTGGCTTAAGTATTTTCTGCACCCCAGTGGGATTAGGGCCCAATTCATAAGGATCTAGAGGGGAAATTATCCATTCACATAAACTCGCTTAATGATGAGATTACACTTTAATTGATATTAATTACTAAATTCGACCCCAATATTGCAAAAAAAGATGGAGTTTGGTGGTCATCACATTCTATCTTATACCTATAGCTTGCACATAACTGAGGGCCATAAATAATCTGCTCTCTTCTAGGGGCTATTCATGATGGGAAACCCATTAGAGTCAGGGCCTTTATGGTAAAGTGTGTTACTCTTCGCTTAGAATCT